GCCCTAGAAACCTGGAAAAACCTGCCCAAACCCCGCGGTCACGCTTGACGCCGTGAGCAAAAACCATGCCAGGTCGACGACTCGCGGGTTGCGCCACGGCATTGCATGGTGTTCAAGGACTGCCCCAAGCCCTTACATCCAGCACCGAGAATGTTCCGCCCAGACTTGAAAGTTCAGGATGGTTGTCTTGCATGCAGCACCGCTTTTTAGAGTTTCCGTCGCGTCACTTGAGGAAGATCGAAACCCGATAGGACGAGAGACCACGGCAAGTAGACACAGCATGCGACCCTGGGAAGCCCAGAAAAACTGGAAGACCTCAAGCATGGAAGTTCCGACTTCTTCAAAATCCACAGACGCAAGTGTTTTCCAGGAGGGCCGCCACTGGTTCGTCGAGGGTGTCTCGACACGGCGGCCGACCAACGTGGGAGACACGATGCTGGAGCACGCTGCTTATTGGGCACGGTAGAGCTTTGATGATCATGGGCAGGGGCACCCACTTCATGAGAGCTCCGACGTTGAACATTTTACATCTGGTAGAAAGACGGCAGGAGCCCGGTGTCGCCTACCAGCTGAGCTCTGGTGATGTGTGTCTTGTCAAATCTAGACGCGATGCTTTCTTTCTGGCCAGTGTGACCACCATGGTGTTGGTGATGACGTCGACTGTGAGGGTGATGATGATGATGATCATGATGATGAAAGGATGGTGATGACGATGATGATGATGATGATGATGATGACGAGGGGGAGGATTACCATGAGGATTTTGCAGACACGGGCCGCGATGAAGCAAATCGAGACAGGCATAGACAGGCGATGATGACACTCTTCATGGTGATGGTCGTGTGCATGACAGTCAGCATAATCATAGCCGGGTTGCTGCTCTCACCGCCGATGCTGGTGACAGTGGTGCTGATTACGAATTATGGCAGTGTGTATGATGGTAATGTCGACTGTTGCGATAATTCGGTTATGATGCTCGGACTTTCTGCCGCAAGCATTGACAGCGCCCTTTGCAACCCTCAAGCAGATACTGTAGTGTTCTCGCATATCCTACTTGTTCCCTGCATCATGTACACACATCGACGTGGTCCTTCCGCCCGGAAGGGTCGTCCCAGCCGAAGACGAAGCTCCGCACAAAGCCAACACGCGATCGTCGGCCTGGTGCTAACCCCACACTCGCTTTTGCAAAGAGGCCCACAATTTTTTTTTGGAGCGTGTGTTCAACGAGAGTTGGTGAGCCTCTGGCCCCAGGTTCTCGCTTGATGGACCTGCCCGTGCCTTGCAATACCTCGTCGAGTTCGATGATGCAGACAACTGGTACCTCGACACCACGTCTGACAACGACGCTTGGTGTCTTAGAGCCTGATGCCCAATACGAATGCCTGGTTAATGTTCATTGTTATTGCTACGTTTGATCCTGGTGGTTGTCGTAGCTGCTGGCCTACAGGAGCAGATGTTTGGGCTGCGCTGTTGCCTTGTGCGTGCGCCTTTCGGTCAGGACTTTCCGAATCGGTGGCCGGCAAAGATGCCAGGCAGGGCACAGGAATTAAGTACTATAGAAAAACAGGAATGTTTCTGCAGAGACTTCAGACATAAGGTTCTGAGATTCGAAGTTCCCAATAAAGGAACACGCACCAGGTGCCAACCCATTTTGAGCGCTTTCTGCTGCTTCCACCAGTGATGTAGCTAACGTTCCTTTTCGCCATCATGTGGCGTCTTCATTGTGTCCGCCACCTGTGAGCTTTGTTCTCTGTCACCACGACCGCGCGATTGCACACTGCGCGTTCGTTTATCTCCTCATGCCTCAATCGTTCTCTTTCTGTCGCTGTGTCCCTCTCTCTCTCTTTGTCTCTCGCGCTCTTTGTAGTGCAGGGCTGGATCTCCGGAAGAGTCATCACGTTCACAATGTTCGCTTCTGATCCCCGCAGCCCACTTCCGTTGCCCAAAGAATCAGGTCCTGAATAGAAGGCTCTTCACTCGAAATCTGCGTCCTGTGTCTTCGGGGCATGCTGCACCGATGTATTGCTAGATTTAACGGAGCTGGAATTCTTGGACGTCGACGATCATCACATCTTACTACACTCTGCAGGCTGCCTTGTGCTGTCTAGAGTCCCCAAGCCCGAAAGTGTAGTGGCCGCTGAGCTCAGGACATCCGACAGAAGCGCCGCCGGCTCCCGAAGAACTCAAACGGCTGGCTTGGTTGCCTGGCTTCAGAAGCCCCGGAAGTTTTCCGGCAGCCAAAGCGGGTACTCACAACAATGCATGTTCTTCTTTGCAGAGAGAAAGCTTGCTGACAAATCCGGGGGGCTTCTCCTCGAGACACTTTCGGGTTTTTCAGGCTCGGCGGATGCTTCGTAGGATGTTGTAATCCCAGAAGCATCAAGAGAAAAAACAAAGAGCTGCTCGCTGAGACCAGTTTGAAGGCAAACCGACCAGATGCGGAGACGATCAGCACCCTGTCCACATAATGGCAGATGTGTTCGTGTGCTTATACATTTCGCTGTATATATATATATATATGTGATGTTGGTGTGCATGAGTTCCACATCAATGTCAGCCAAAGCATGTTGCATATATATATATATATATGTATGTATGTATGTATAGACACGTCATGGCGTAGCAAACTGTGCATTGCGAGCTTGCAGGCACCCTGCTCTTGAACTGGCTGTTGTCTTTTGAAGCAACTGCTTCCTAAGTGTTTTCAAAGCCTGGCCCTCTAACCTTAGAGCTCCTAAACCATTGAGCGATTTGCCACGACGTGAGTTGCGTACCGAGGAGGAAGAGCAAGTTCTGGTTGCGGACTGGGCAGCTTTTTCGCAGAGCCTTGGTCGCACAAAGGTTTAATAGTCGAAATGCATGTATCCATATCATTAATATATACATCTATACAGTCTTTATATATACACATTATCATCAGCTTAGCTGGCCTGTGCTGCGTCTTGGCTGGTGTCTTAGCTGGTGCCCTTTCGTTTTGTGGGCTTCGGTCCGCTGACACGGCGGCTTCCGAAGCTTGCGCTCGTTCCAGTGCGGATGGAAAGTTCAGGTTCAGAGAAGTTCAGAGTCGAATCCCAGAGTTGCCCGGAGAGACTCGCAGGTACGTGAAGAAGCACTATCACAAGTACGGAATCTCGGCTGGCCATCGAAGGCAATTGAAATTCGGAGCCGGCTCGTTTGCCCGATCATGAAGTTCCCCCTTTCCATTTCAATATGTGAAGAAAACAGCTGCCTGGAAACTGCGAGGCATCTTCGCTGAGCCCTGGCAGGGATCTCTTGGCCCGGCACCCCCTCGGCCTCCGAAGCCTGCGCCAAGGCACTGCGGGACGGAACTGGTACAGCCGGTAAAGTCGTACAGTCCTACAGCCGGTGAAGATGTCGGAGCGAGTCTTCCCAGCTTTGAAACCTGAAGTCCTGAAGCCATTTAGGCCATAAGCCATTCCTTACCATTTACCAGCCGTCCCTCGAATCCTTCTCGCCATGGACAAGCGCACCGTGGGCTGCCTTGGTGGAGGCCAGCTAGGCCGAATGATGGTCTATGCGGGTCATCGCCTTGGAGTGAAGATGTGCGTCTTGGACCCGCTTGGGGAGAAGTCGCCTGCCGGACAGGTGGCCGAGATGTCGGTGAAAGGCAGCTTCCAGGATGCCGACTCGGTCCGAGAGTTGGCCAAGAAGTGTGACATCCTCACTTTGGAGGTGGAGCACGTCAATGCGGAGGTGCTCGAGGAGCTTCACCAAGCAGGCGTCCCCGTTCAGCCACTTCCCTTCGTGGTGAAGCTGATCCAGGACAAGTACGTCCAGAAGGTCCACCTTCAAAAGCATGGTGTGCCTTTGCCCGACTTCGAAAAGGTGGAGTCTGAAGCTGACTTGCATAGCATCGGCGAGCGATTCGGCTACCCCATGATGCTGAAGAGCCGATACGGCGCCTACGACGGCAAGGGCAATGCTGTCGTGCCTAATGCACAGGGCATCACGGCGGCCTTCGAGAAGCTTGGCGGCAAGGCCGGCAAGAAGTTGTACGTGGAGAAGTGGGCTCCATTCAAGATGGAGCTGGCGGTGATGGTTGCCCGTGGAGTGGACGAGACCATGAACGTTACCATGCACACCTACCCAGTGGTGCATACTGTGCAGCGCGACAGCGTTTGCTTCACCTGCCTCACACCACCCGTGGGAGTCACGCAGAAGCAGCAGGAGCTAGCCCAGAAGGTTGCCACCGACGCCATCAAGAGCTTCGGTGACGCTCGCGGTATCTTCGGTGTGGAGATGTTCCTCCTCCACGATGGGTCCGTGCTCCTGAATGAGATCGCTCCACGACCGCACAATACTGGCCACTACACCATCGAAGCTTGTGGTGTGGATCAGTTCGAGCAGCACCTGCGTTGTGTGCTTGGCCTCCCTTTGGGTGACTGCCAGCTCCGAGTCGGTGGTGCCATGATGGTGAACATCCTTGGACAGGGTGAAACGCCAGAAATGGTGACGAAGACCATGGCTCCACTCCGACGTGCTCTTTTGGTGCCGGATGCTGGTATCCACTGGTACGGCAAGGAGGGCTGCGTCAAAGGCCGGAAGATGGGTCACATCACTGTGACCGGCTTTACCCCGGCCGCTGCGTTAGAAGAAATTCGCCCTGTCCTGACAGCCGTGGATGGTGATGACGCAGCCAACAAGCACGATGTTCCGACCAAGCCTTCACCTAGCGTTGGGATCATCATGGGCAGCGACAGCGACCTTCCCACAATGAAGGATGCAGCTCAGGTGCTCGACGACTTCGGCATCCCTTACGAAATCAGTGTTGTCTCCGCTCATCGTACACCAGAGTACATGTATGAGTACGCAACCACGGCAGAGGCCCGAGGCATTAATGTGATCATCGCAGGAGCCGGCGGTGCAGCGCACCTCCCCGGCATGGTGGCAGCACTGACGCCATTGCCAGTGATCGGTGTTCCTGTGAAGTCCTCCACTTTGAGCGGCAATGACTCGCTTTTGTCCATCGTGCAGATGCCGAAAGGTATCCCCGTGGCCACAGTGGCCATCGGCAACGCGGCCAACGCTGGACTTCTCGCTGTTCGCATCCTGGGGGCCGCCAACCCGGGACAGAGGCAGAAGATGGCCAAATATATGGCCGCCGAAGCCGCGACCGTGGAGAAGAAACGCCGACGACTAGAGCAAGATGGCTGGCAAGCATACCTTGCTGTTGCCAATGGCAACCTTAATGGCAAGGCGTGATCTTGAGTTTTTGTGCCGTGCTTATGGTTGGATCCCGATTGCTCTTAGATCAGGATGTGCATTGGTTCTGTTGGGCACATCCGGTAACATCTCACTGAAACCGGGCAGTCCATTCGGGCACGGACGAAGTTGTAGCACTCGCCATCGTTTCCAGCGTGCTTTGAACAACATCTGTAGTGCTACTGTAGTATTTTGTCAGGTAGCAGAACGATGGTCGATGCTCTCTTGCATACTGCTCTTGGCGACCCAGTCTTCCACCTACTAGTACTTGTCATAGCCTTCACCTTCAAGTCAGTAAAGACTGTTTAGAAGAAGATCTGAAGTGTTTGCAGGGTCCAGCAGGGCCTGGGGCACATGATATTCCAGTGCCTTCCGAGAAATTTTGTGATGGATATTTGTTGGAGCAGCCTGGAGGGCTGACCCCACTTGCATTGGTCGTGCTCCGCATTTTCACGACCAGGGGCTGCATACGGCAAAGATTGCAACGAGATCGGGGACAGACGCGTGCAGTGCCCACGGTTGAAAATCAGAGCCTGACTTTAATTTAAGTCTGATGGTGGGCGCAATCAGCTTGATGCGCCCATCCGGCAATTAGCCGAGCTGGCATTTGAAGCGCTGGCGTTGCTTCAGTACATGAGTTACATCAGCTGCGCGATCATTGAAGGACATGCATGACGTGCTGAGAATCCGAGTCTCCATCAAATCAGACTTCGACCATGGACATCTCCAGAGTCCCAGGATAAGACCACGCAGCTGAAAGACTGATTTTGCATTGGATCCTGTTGTGCGTAGCCGCGGCTCTCAGCGCCTCTATGTTACAGACTGCCAGGCTTGGTGCCGCCGATGCTTTGAAGCATCTAAACTCCCCCGATTCGCGTTGACTCCAAAAGCGGTTGGGTCGCTGCCGGGGTTTGCTGACCGCCTTGCTGCCGCCTTTCGTTTGGCTTCAGTTCAGACCATGGTGGAAGGCCTTGGCCGCAGTGGGTGACGGAGCTCGTGGCACAGGACGGCCCCTTTCAAGTGTTCTGTGTGTCGGGCCAAGATCCTGCTCAGTTTGGAAAGTCGGTACAGTGGGTTGGATCTTGACCGACAAAACCGCCTTCAAGCGAAGCACCGTGTGACAGAGGGGGCAACCACTCCGACCATGCAAGTTCTCCCTCTCAGGAGCAGATGCTACCCTACGTGGACAGGCTTCGGGGTTCATCAGCCCTTCCAACCCTGAGTTGCCCCTCCCATCTCTTCCTCTTTTCCCCGCTTCAGGGAGCTCCCCTTCCAAGAGCTTCTGGAGCTGAGTGGCGCGGCGCCGAGACGTCCCTTGGGCCCGAGGGCTCCGAAACCCCCTGGGCCGGTGTCTGCGCCTGGGCTTTGATTGAAGTTGTCATGGCCTGCTTGCTTTTCTCAGCTTGGCACAGAAGATGAGATATGTTTCTGCTAGGTTGAAACTGTGGTGTTGACGCTTGTCGCCATAAAAATCGGACAGAAATCTGGATTTGAAGTGCTTGATCATGAGAAGCGAGAAGGCGACGCCATGGAAGGTTTGTTGGGTCCTCAGCCTATAGTTGTTGTATCATAAGTTGCCCTTGCTATAGAGTCCCATACTAGCAAGCATTCCTCCAAAAAACGAGTCGTTGGCCACTACTGGACAGATCTTCAGCCTCGAAGTGGACGACTCCACAGAAACCATACGAATTTCATCGAGTTTCTATTGAGGTATTCCAGAAGCACCCTAAGATTTGACCCCCTGTTGCTGCATCACTCTTGTATTTCTTGGGTTTCTGGGCTCGATCCGATCATTTGAAAGTCCCCTCGCAGCCCAGGGTTGGGGAGCACCTCGGAGGCAGAGCACGGCAGAGTCGCGAAGTCAGAGGTTCGTGAACCGAAGGGCTATCCTTCCAGCATGGCAGTAACCTCGGACCTTCTTTAAGCTTCGCAAGTGGGTGGTCGGACGGCTTGCGATGATCCACTGATACCAGACTAGAACCTCGAGTTGCGATCTTTCGACATGAGGAATGGAAGGGGGTTCTGTATTGTCATGACGATGGTGAGGACGCTGCCGCCGCCACCAATGTCGGTGACGATGAGGATGATGAACAGTATTGTGGTGGTCGTAATTACAATGTTGATGCAGTGTTGATGCTGACGGACACTGGATGGTTGTGGTGGTTTTTGCGGTGAGATGCTGATCGTGGCGGTGGTGGTGGTGGTGGTGGTGGTGGTGGTGGTGGTGGTGGTTGGTGAGTGCTGCTTGTGGTGCGAGGGCTACGGGTTCTCATCCTGATCCTGATATTATTTCTCCTGCTGTTACTGGCCGTGCTGGTGGCAAGTGCGAGGTTGACGGTCGGTGGTTTTTGATGGCCGTCCTGGTGCTGCTGGTGGTGATCCCGAAGCGAATGCTTAGGTCAGGAGTCGTGGCAGCCTGATGATGCTGGTGATGATGAGGATGATGGTGATGATGATGAATAATAGTATATTGCTAACAATATTGCGATGATGATGGTGATGATGGTGGTAGTGTGCATGGTGGCTCGGTGCTGATATTTGTTGTCATGGTACTGGTAAAATTCGCTGATGTTGATGGTGACATGGTGATGATGATGGTGATGCTCTTGCATATTCTCGCTGTGCTGGTTGTGGTTTTTTGGGCAAAGGGGCCCCCCTGCCATGAATGTTCTGGGACTTGTGGCCTCGGGGCACTTTCGGAGCCCGAGCGAAACTTAGAAAGTCCACCGGGGCAAGGGGAACAGCCGAGGTTGCAGACAGGGAGCGTTACAAGAGCGCCCTGGCGAGGATGCTGGGTGGTTAGGATGTTCTAGACTTAGAGTCTTTACCTGATTGACCTCTGACGCTCCTTCAACAGGTTCATGTTTCGTGGACGTTCTCATTGCCCCGGCTAAACAGCAGAAATATTACAGTAGGGCAGAATCCTGGTGTTTTACGGCCCTTGGACTTTGCATGCTCAAATGCCCCACGTCGGTAATGATACTGCTGACGGGCAGCATGACGCTGGTTAGTGCTTATGATGAACCCGCCATTACGCTGCGAAGTCGGTCATGTTGAGGACAATACAATCATCATCATGCTGGTGGTTGCAGCTGTTGATGCAACCCAGTGCTTTCATTAAGGTGGAGGAACTGGGCGCATGATGGGCAACTTGGACACGACTAAGGCCTGCCATGACAGGTAGATGCAGGGTTGCTGAGGGTGGCTCTAAGCCGGCGACTTTAGTCTTCCAGAGTCTAAACGCGGTGTTCATAACAACCCTTCGCTTGACTTAACTGCACGTGTCCTCTTGTTTGATTCACGGCACCTTGAACCCTAAACTCAAGAAAGACATCTTCATGAGAAGAGAAGCTGTGCATGAGTTGCAAAGTTTTGGTTGACATGCACTCGTGCCGGCCGAGGTCAACGAACCTGCCAATCAAGAACCAAATGCATACATCTTACAGAAACCTTGGTCCCAAACTCATCCCGCATTCCAACATGAAACTGAGGCGATGCTTCACTGCTAGCGATTGGTCGGACGCAGCCTTTCCAACCAGATACAAGAGTCCAGGTGCGGGGGCCTTTCTCTGTTGGACACCATCGCACGAGAGGTTAGGAAGCGTTGCCGATGTAGGGCCCATTGGCCCATGGTATCCCGTGGTTATGAATGCTCGACGTCGACAACGGTTCCCGTAACTTGGGATTTTACTGTTTTGTGTGATGTAGACAGGAAACCTTGTTCTGCGAGCTTTGGCGTCCCTGAGTCCTGAGTCTTGGTGCGAACAACCCCTGCAGACAGTTACGGACATGCTGAACCTTGAGTGTGAGCGCTGAAACCCAGGGACAGTCTGAGGGCACATCTCAAAGCCCCACACACCACAGTGAAGCCCTGCCTCTTTCAAAGCTCCAGAAATGCAGCTGGCACTCGAGATGACAGGAGCCTGCACCCTCCGCAGCCGCCGAGCCGCGCCCCGCAGAGACAGTGGAGGCCGAGAGCGTGCTTTTGCGTGTTTTCGGAGAGGGCGGTTGGGAAGTCTCGACCCAGGACGTGCGAGGGCGCTGTTCCGTGCCGCTGCCAGGCAGCTTCAAGCTGCTTGGCAAGTTCGTTTGCATTGCTGGAAAGCTGTTGGACTGAAACCTAGCTCCTTTCCCGCAGGTGCGATAGTAGGACTACACTGACACCAATCCATAACGGCATTGTTCTCGTGGACTGCATCGACTAAACCAGATTGGGGCATGGTGCACAGGCACACAAAAAATGCCTGATCAAGCATGTTCTTGAGCACCGACACATCACCTGTGGTCCTGCAAAAGGGCCTGGCTCCAGTCCATGGAGGATGCACAGTGGCCCGGCCGGCATCCAGGGCGGAGTGAATAATCGCTCACGTGGACGAAGATGGAGCAGCATGCAATATGGTCTCTCTCTCTCTCTCTCTCTTTCTCTCTCTCTCTCTCTCTCACTCATCTTCTACAGATTCTGCTGTCTACTGTCAGGCAGAGTACGGAGCAAGTTGTCGATGGTTTCTAATACAATATCTTGACGTGTCTCCGAGTTGCTGGAAATGGGTGTCCCAGACTTCAGTATATATGCAAGGACCATACCTGCTGCATTTTTATTGGCATGTGACTGTAGTCGCCGTACCGTAGTATTCTAAAACCGAGAAATCTTCAGGAATACCGAAGGCTCATGTGCTTTTTCCTTTTTTCAGGAGTTTGCTCAGGGCAGTCCCTAGGCTTCAAGGTCTCAATCGAATGCTGGGTCTCTGGAGGCTTTCTGGAGAGGTCTACAGGGAATGCCAAACATCTTTTAGAAGTTTGGGGTAAGTGAGTTTCGAATTGGAGTTCGATGGGCCATAGAGGCATCCAAGTCCTGTGCTTTCGGACAGAGAGACGGACAGAGTCCTAAGCTTTGAAAAACCAAGAGAGATGCAAAACAGAGGCAACAAACTAACCTGTCGGCCCTGCATGGTGAGTCCGCCGCTCTGGAGCCTAATATAACTCAAGGTTTGTAACAGACTCTCTTAGCTCGCTGGTTTTTGAATTATTATGACCCTGACCACCATGACGAGACCTAGATCTCTAGCTTCCCAAACCCAGACTTGGACTTAGAGTTTGGCTCTCGGAAGATGCAACACTCCCAGCCCCATCCGGCGAGTCGCAAGAGCGCCAGAAAATCCAGATTGTGAGGTTCGTCCTGCCGTACCACGATGCCCTAACATCCCAGTGGCTTGACTCGGCACGTGAGGAAGTCTATTGTAGCACTTGGAGTTTAGAGCTTATAGGGCCCAGGCCTTATAATTTGGCATATGCAGCCTTGTGCATCGCCTTGGGGATTTGATCAGGCTCGGAGACCATGTGCAGTGCTGTTGAGCAGCAGGGTTCGAAAGGTATCGTTGGCGACAGGCTAATCTAACACATCCTGTGTTTCTCCCCTCCAGATTTGTTTTGCAGTATGGAGTTCAGTTTGTGGGTGGTAAGTTGTGGGCGAAGCCCATGCGTCCAGAAGACATACATTCCACTACGCAGAAAATCGCCGGCCTTCGGAAAGCCCATCCAGCATTGTTTTTGAAGGACTGTCAGCAGTCTGTGTTCGACCGCACGTGGTGGTGAGAACCAGGTGTACATGGCTAGGCAGATTCCATGACTCGTGACTGGCAGTCTGGGCTCGTCAAACAAGGAAGAGCAACTGTCACACTGGCCAAGGTTCGATTCTTTGGAGCAAATCTTGAGCCTCTTCGTCCGTGCGGGTGAGGCCGCCTACATGATTCTGAATATGGATCCGGCTTCCAGGCTTTACGTCAGGTGGCAGTGATTTCATCACAACCACGGCCTTATTGAAAGTTGGTGCGAATCTCTCCGACTTGGTAGGAGGCATGCCTTGAAGCATTGTGGTTCATGGTTTGAGAGATGAATAGAGATGAGAGCAACTGGAAAACCAGCATCCTACAGTAGAACGCCAAAGGTTGGACACCATATAGTCTCCATCCTTAAGAGTAATCCCAGCACTAATTGTCCTTAATCCGGTTTCCAACTGTTCGGGGTTTGCGCTACGGTGATCAGCTGGTGGTCGTCTTCAGGTGGTTATATACATACATGCATGCATGCATGCATGCATGCATACATACACACACACACACACACATATATATATATATATATATACGTATATGTGTATACACATACATACTTATGTATATGTATACAGGCCCCGGGCTCTGCCAGATTCCCATTTCGGCAATCAAACAATAAGAAGCAGCAAACACCTGCAGGGCACGGTAACTTTGGTCTTCTGGCACAATCTGTAGCTGACAGATGCCTGTGCACTGACCGTTAGACGTGTGAACGTACTGTTTAGTTTTGTTCAACATGTGCTTGTTTTGTTGAAGCCTGGCAGCTTCGTTTTCCCAAATTCTAGAATCCGGGCACTTCCTCAGGTGGATCATCGCTTTTTCGATGCCGTCGGTGCCACGCTTGCAAGTGAGCAAGATCTGCCCGGTTACTATGTGATATGGACATCATGAACAACAGGCTGTGTAGCTACATGATAGGTAGACGGTATTGAAGTCGTGAGCATCCGAGGCATCCAGAAGCTAGGTCACCGCCGCGTCTTCCAGAAATGGTTCCGCAGCCACTGCAAGTGAAGCAAGGTGGCTCCCTGGTTATTGGTGGTTTACATCCTGATCGTGGGACGAAGAGGTACCAGACGAAGTTTGCATCCGGATCGGGAGTCTCGACTCGACAGCACTAGCGAGACGAAGCAACTTCGCGATTTGATTTTCGGGGCGAGCAGCGACAGACTGGGACGTTGGTCTATCTTGCCGGTGCATGTGCCAGCAGCTGAGCATCCCATGCTGGTAGACGGAGGAGGTGCCATTTACGAGAAGGGTGGGCGAGCGTGTGGTTGTGGTCGAGGATGTGGAGAACGACTCGGAGTATCACAGTGTGTTACCATGTCATGAACTTGACGAGCGCTGTTGTCAAGCAGCGGCAGCAGATTAACTTTGCATTCCCTGTGTTTGAATGTGCGAAGATGTGCGAAGGTTTTCAGTATAGCTTGCGCAGAGCCGGCCACGACAAGTCTAAACCAAGAGAAGCGCCAGCCTCGCACCGAATCATGTCTGCTTCCTGGATCGGCTTTGCAATATGTGTGGGTAGCGATTCGTGTGACGTGAGGAGGAAGGCACTTCTAGTAGCCAACGCAGTTTTTGATCGATCGGGTAGAGCATCCGCACACCTGACATCAAATTCGAGACACCTTCTTGGGATTTTCGGCTCTGTGCCTGTGGACCGATGAGGTGACATGAACATCGTTGAGTGCAGACCTTCAAATGTAAAATCTGGGATCTACTCTCGATGCAAGTTTCGACCCTACATTCTCAAGGTATGCAGGCTGTCCCCAGTCACCACCTGAACCTGCGATCGCATTATAGTTCTGGTGTTGCATTCGCTGGCCTGAGGTGCATTCTCCGAATTCTGCGTGATCAGGTTCGAGACACTGACTTAGCGCCGGTCTTATCATGCAGGGGCAGGGCATTCGTGCCTAGGGGATGCTAACCTGGGTCTTACTGGTAGTGATTGGCTTCTTATTGTTAGGATTATTCGTAGCATGAGGTTCATCGCTCGGGTCGCCAGGCCGTGGGGTTGCTGACCACTAGTCAGACAACACTTTACGGTACTGATGCCCGTGTTCCCCGATGTTCATGATTATGGTAGTGCTCCTGAGATGTTCTGCCGGCTGGAGTTTTTGTTTATTGCTGCTGATGCTTTTTGTTACCTGTTATGTTGTAAGACTATTAACAGTGCTTGCGGTTACTGTTGCAGGTATGACTTCTGGTTGGCGGAAATTTAGTTTGCATTGTCCCAACTCCTGCTGGGTTTTTCGTGAGACTCCGACTGCTGTTGGATTGCTCGCCAAATCCAACGAGCCTGGAGTTCTCAACTCAAGCCCTTTGAGTTTGTCTCGTTACACACTCACATCCGTGTCTGAATATATATATATATATATACATACATACATACACACGCATATAATATGAATATACGAGTACACGTATATACAGCTACCTATACATAAATATACAAATATATCTACATAGACATACATGTATATGTATATGTATTCAGGTACATGTTTGTGTCTACATCACCTCCAGTCGTGTTGTCTTTTCTTGACACACAGAGACTTCCGTTCGGTGCTGTGTATTACTGCTTATCGGCATGGTCGAATATTGCCTTTGTTGCAACATGCTGAGCCATAGTAGCAGTACTCATAGCATTTGCCGTCGAGGTCGGCGTGGTTTGCTTCGGCCCTACCGTGCAAACGATCATTTCGCCCACTCCGAAAGGGCGTCTTGGCCGCAGGGTGCATCGGGTTTCTCATGTTAAACATCGTACCAACCGCAACTCTTGATTCTTTCAGGTAACTGTAGTTTCGGTCCTGCCTGTGACTTGTACCCCAAATGCCAACTGGGGCCTTCAAAGGTTCTAATTAGCCCACGACGGATTGATGCATTAGGCATCAGAGAGATGCCTCCTGCTTCCCAAAAACTGCGCGGCGCAGGGTGGGCGGACGAATGCTTCAGACACGCATCGCGAGCTTGCAGCCGGCGACGGCTGGAGGCCAGAATGGGCTGGTCTTGGTCTTTCTTCACCTTGAGTCTAGGTGGTGCTGGCAGTAGGAATAAGAGACGCGGAGGAGTGCCCGGGCTTTGGACGTCAAGCAAGCACCGTCAACAGACCCCCATGCCAGCACAAATCTGGAAAGCAGATGACATCTGCCAGAGGAGGTTCATGGCTGAATCCCAGAGATGCAGCTCCTGCAGCCCGACCTGTCTGGGCGTATAAAGTCTCCACGAAGCAACCCAATCTACATTCTGCCGGCTTGGAGTCGTGTTCTACATCGGTCACAGATCCAGACCTCGCAGTTCAGCACCAATGCTTGGCGGAATGTCTGAACAAGCTCCCTAGCGTTCTCCCCTTCCAGTTGCCATGGGAAAGCTCTTGGTTTAGAGTCAGATGAAGATACTTAGTAAAGTAAAGCCATGCAGCCACAACTTTGACACATGATGATGACAATCTATCTCTTGACCGACCTGTAGCTGTAAAAATGTCATATGCCTGTGCAGAAAGGATGCCCCACTTCTCCTGAGACAATAGGCCTGCAAAGCTTCCCGTGCCTCAGGGACGTGCTTCTACGATGCAGCCATGCAGCCGTGCTTGTGTCTGCCATCGTGATCACCTGGGGGTTTACACACATATGATGCTCATGCTTTTTCCACGACGAGAAACGAAAGTTGCAGGGCGGGCTCGCAGTTAATGTTTTATGCGTTGGGATGTGGGCGTGTCATCCGTCTGCCACATCCACAAATTGCAGATTCTAGCAACGCCGCCAGCTTAGATTCGCCCTCGAAGATGCGCACCTAGAATCTATTCTTAGAAGACTTTGCGGCTTGTTGATGGTGCAGTCGAGAAGTCACCTTCTAGCTTCCCGCCCAGCTGCACGCACTTACACAGTCTGCTGTGCAGGGTCTGGGACTCCCAGGCAGCGCTGAGCAGTGACCGATGTACATGTCGGAAAGAAGCTGCAACATATGCTGCCTAGTGGCTATAGTGCCCATGTCGGTGGTCTGATAGCACTTTCAAAATCTCGACCACAGCAGCAAAATAGCCAACGAAAACTCGCGGAGGACAATGTGCGGTGTAAGCACTCTCATTCTCCACGAAAACCGGAGCCTGGCAGCCGACAAGTTATGAAGTCCTAAACAAATCAGAACTGGAGCATCCTTGATTTTTCTGAAACTCTCAAACAGCTTGGGCCTCCTTCCTGGAGCCAGGTCTTGGAGTGCCTGAAGATGCTCGGGCAGCCGGAGGCTTAGAAGCGTAGCACGTCGTTCTTGTGTTTTTGTTTTTGTGCTGATGGTTTCAACCAGACGATGCCGTGCTGCGGCATTAACAGTCAACAGCCCAGACAGCGCATTGCCAACATGCCAATGACATCCGTGACTCTTTCCGGTCTCTCAGTCACGGTTGTCGGTTCGGTGCTGCATCGGCGAAAACTCGGCTGCCCCCGTCGTTGTTTTCTTTTCAGCAACGAACGAGCGACCCCAGGCCGAACCTGGTACCTCCAGAGGCAAGGATTTGAGAGACAGTAGCTGACGGCATGCACCTGGGTTGATTTTGGTTTGGACCAGCAGCTGACCTAATTGCGCGCGCCTGGCATGGCCTTCCGGATGCATGCGGGAAGCGGTGTAGGCTATTCCAGCTTTCACTGTTTAGCCTAGTTTCCGCAGAAGCAACAGAAATCCGCCGATCGGAAAGCGTGTGATGCAGGCCTTACGCTGGCTCGTCTGCCTGACAGATGGCGACGATCTGGGTAGCAGCCGACACCTCAGAATGGGCCTCGCATACCAGAATTCTGGCCAGAATTCAAACTCCAGCTCATCCTGCGTCACACTTGTCCCTTTTGCTTTGCCCCAGGCCGACCGAATCAGCGCGGCCAGCTGGTCTCCCACATGCTGGCATGGGACCCTGGACGTACGAGTTGGAAGCAGAGCGACGTCCGGAATCGCATCCATCTCTTGACCCCTTGGAACTCGAAGCACTTCTGTCCTTCTCACGGTTGTGTACAGGAGTAATTCATACCGCGCGAGCAGACGGTGCCACAAGCTTGAACCTTCGTGCTCTTCCCCAGGGAAGTGGCAACGCCCCAGCAGGCTTGAACATGGCCGGCAGCCAAACTTCTGGGGGCCGTTTGCAATATTATACATAGTATAGTATACACAGCTAGTACAGGGTATATACGGAACAATATTAAAGACATTAATTGGGCTTTTGGAGCCTGTGACAGCCACTTCCTCATGTGGTGTGGATGGTGTTAACTTGTTTAATTTGACGTGTCGCTTGAAGCAGGGGGTAACTCAGCACAGGCACACCCTCCTGTGAGATCGCATGCTGGCACGGTAGGTCACATCCACAACTTTTTTTTCTCCGTACAAAGCTGCCCTGGTACTGAAAGGCCCGAGCACTGGTGCCCCTCAACTCCTCCACTATCAATCAAACATAGTCCAACCCATCGATCAAGCTCGAAGAGCCTTAAGTGAGAGGACTGGGATATGGCTTGTTCTGACGATCGGACAAGCAGCAAAAAGCAGTACAGATACCTTTCAATTCACCTAACAGACTGCAGCCTCCCACGATCCACATGTACTCCGTGTTGGACAGGATCTTTTTTGACTTTGAACCGCAGGACGAGAGATCTTTGGACAGGATCGCATTAATCCATGTCCCCTTGGCAAGGGGATATACAACCAGAGGCCTCTAAGCTTTGCAGCCCCTCCAACCCTGCAAATCTGTTTGTAAATCCCAACGAGAGCGCGGGCGGCACCCGAGCGAGGTGATGATCACCGTTGGGGCCCTCAAGTCCGAGAACGTTCAGGTTCGCTTTAGCTTGACGGAGCTTTGGCCGTAGGGCTTTGGGCTACCCCTGCAGTGTTGACAGTAGCAGTTTTGACTTAGGACAAGAAGAGCAACTGCAAGTAGGCATCCTCTCTGCCATAAGCTATCACGAACGGAATTGCTCAAGCGCCAAGTTGCACATGGACGAAATCCCGAGGCATTTCCAACAATGATTCTAGCGTTGGGT